AATGGCTGGAGTTCCCTCTTCAGTTGCCACTCCATATTCTGTAGCTTGTCATGGAGCCAGGAGACCATGGGCAGCTGGGGCAGAAGTACATATAGCAGTCAGGGAGGCATGGAAGGACCTGCCTGCCATCTCAGCTTCAGGTTTATGGACCTCTCCGCCTCTTCCTGGGTAGGAGGATGGGCACAGGGAAGGATATTGTCAGAAGATGACAAGTTAGAACAAAACAACCCACATATATATATGAATATATCACAACTGCACTTATTACTCTGCATGTAAACTTTTAAATCTGGGAAAATAAGTGTAAAATAAAACTGTTAATGTCATATCTTCACTGTGTCAACACATTCCCAATTTCCCCATTTTACTCACAGTAAACATAAAGTCTCTAGCTTGGTCTACAGCTCATCATCGTTTTTTTCTACCTCCTCTCTAACTTGGCCTCTGGCCATCTTCCTCTCTCTCTCTCTCCACCCTTCCATCTGTTCCTGTCTCAGCCAGTCTGCCTCTGCCTCTTCCAGACCACACTGAGTGTTCCTCCCACCTGGAGTCCTCATCTACTTCCTCATTCATGGCTCATTTCCTTCACTTCCTTCAATCATGTGTTTAAATGTCTGCTTTGTGCAGCTGACTCAGACAATTCCTCTGAATCTGCCAATCCCTTGTCTCTCTAGTTGCTGTCCACCTTGTTCCATTTAGGGTTCCTCCTGGCATGTGACACTCTTGAAATAATATATAATTAAGTAATCAGGAGATGGAGCCCATAGTAGACTGAGCAGGGATAGTGAATACAATGAACACTTAACAATACAAGTGTAAGGAGAGCTAGAGCCACTAACTGAGGGTTACAGGAGATCAGTGGAGGGAACCATTTTTCATTAGGATCCCTTCACCTTGGCTGGTTCCACCATGGTGGGGAAGGTGTTACAGCTTGCGGCCTTGGCAAAGTCACTTGTCAGCTCTGGTTTGGTTTTTACACCCATTGGCTTCTTCCACAGAGACAATCACACCATCCTCACATGAGGCCTTATTTTTTCCCATAATTCTGTGTCTTAGATTTCCTTTTCCACACTCACTGATCCTGTTGGAAATCACTACACTCTTCCTTGCTCATCATGACAGTTGGGGTTTTGTTTGGTTTCTGTTGCTTTGATTAAAAAAAAAACTGAGCCAATCAAAGTTGGAGGAGAAAAGAGTTAATTTCATCTTATAACTTCGAGGTCACCATCTATGGCAGGAGAAAGCCAAGGCAGAACTCAGGGCGTGCACCCGGAGGCAGGAAGGACGCAGAAGCTATGGAGGGAGGAGTGCTGCTCACTGGCTTGCTCACTCGACTTGCCCGGCCTGCTTTCTTACACTTCCCAGGACCAACTGTGCAGCAGGGGTCCTGTTCTCCCACATCAACTGTCAACTAAGAACAGGACACACAGACTTGCTTACAGGCCGGTCTGATGGAGGTAATTTCTGAATTGAGATTCCTTCTTCCCAGAGAGGTCTAGGTTTGTGTCAAGCTGATATAAAAACTAACCAGCACAATGGACCACTCATCGATTTGATGCACAAACATATCAATATTAAATCGTAACTATTCCTTTCTCATTCATTGCCAAGCTGTGACATTAATGTGTTGACATTAATATCACAATATAAAACCCAAACGAATTTAAAAGTCCCATAGTCTTCAACTATTCCACCACTGTAATAAATCAAATTCTCTTTAAAAACCCAATGTCTTTTTCAAAGTTCAAAGTTTCTCAACTTTGAACTCTTATAAAATAAATAAAAGAAAAAAAAAACCAGTTAAATACTTCCTGCTCCACAAGGGAAGAGCCAAGTCACAGTCACAAGCAGATCAATTCACAATCAAACTTCAACAGTGCCTGGGGAGCTAGTTCCACTTCACTGCCTCAGCCTTCTACAGAACAAGTAGCTCATTTCATAGGCTCAGGTCAGCCTCCATCTCACATCTGCCGCTGTCTTTGACAGTGGTTACACATGGTACCGGTATCTCCAAAGTTCTGGGGTCTCCATTGCAACTGAGGTTACACTCTCGCCAATGGCCTCTCTTCAGGGGCTCCAGCCCTGTGGCATAATGCCAAGCCTCAGCTTCTTTCCATGACCTATTCTCATATTCAAAACCAAGACCACCTTGGGGACCGGAGAGATGGTACAGTGGTTAAGAGCATTTGATGCTCTTGTAGAAACAGGATCGGGAATTGACTCCCAGTGCTCACATGGTAGTTTAGAACCATCTCTAATTTCATTTTGAGGAGTTCTGACTCCCCCTTCTGATCTCTGTAGGCAATAAGCACTTAGCATGATGCACAGACACACATGCAGGCAAAACCCTCACATGTAAAATGAAATGAATAAATCTAATAAAACTTATATGAAACCCAGCACCACTTGGGTGACTCTTACCAGGTTCAGATGAAAGCATGTGATGTGGCCTTAGCTCCCTTTGGACCACGGCTCCTGTGTGCTGACCCTGAGGAGAAATACTCCCAGAAGACTGTACCTCAGTGGTTCTGCTCTCTTCTCAATCACTGCTCATTTCTCAGCTCCAGTTAACCAGCACTGACTGTCTGGGTGAAGCAGTGGTTTTATGTCAGTGGTGCCGGTCTCTCATGACAGCCGTTCTTCAGCTCCAGCCAATCAGACAGCACAGACTATTAATTCAAAATATCATAAAATGTCCCCTTCAGGCCTGGTGCTATTGGTTGAGCTATCAATACCCCCTATCTAGAAACACCATGTAACACCCAGACACAGGACCCTGAAGTGAGGCATCTGTGACTTTAGCAGCATCTACAAGTTGACCACACTGAAGTTCACATTCAAGGGCAGTGAAGGATGTGACCAGAAGGGGTGAGACCAGGAGCTGTGGAGTTGGAGAACCCTGTAAGAACCACCACTAGAATGAATTGGGGTCACTCCTAAATGCCTTAGGCCATGGCACACTGTGGACAGGACGCCCTCTCCCTCCCACCCTGCCATTTTCCCACCTTGTCAACCCTGGGTTGTCCCCAGCCACCTGTTTTTTGACTCCTGAGATCATGTGCCATCTGAGGACTCCACATGATGCCCCATGTCAGTCACCAGGGATTGACGGCAAGCCCCGTCTCACCTACACTGGATCGATTCTCTCACCACTTTACTTTTTGGGTCTCTGAGCATAGGTGGCAGAACTCAGCTCACTGGGACACAGGGAATGACAGGTGGGTGAGAGGTGTGGGGAGGCTTCACATCATACTAAACGTGAGATTCATGATTGGTCAATCACCTGTGGCTATTGTTTCCCGTTGCTTTTTTTAAAGGATGGAATTCCACACACCATTGTCATAAATGCTTTCATCAGTGATCCACATGCAGTGAAGTATAACCTATTTGATTTCAATCAGCAGGACAACAACAAAAAAAGTCCTTGGCACCCCAGACATGGAGAGCCCCACCCTTTCCTGCCCTTGGGATGACAGACTTCCTGCTCAGGGGCATCTTTAATGCTGGGATCAAGGCCTAGGTCTTATGAGAACCTCAGCAAGAGCCAAGGCTTGTGAGAGAGTGTTCATTAATATTGTTTATAGATATGTGGAGCTGTCCAACCTGGGTCCACAGAGGCACAAAGATGCCATTGTGTGATCAGCACCTGTATCCAGAGCCTGGGTCAGCTGAGTCTCAGAAGAGGACATTGAGGGCTAAGCAGCACAGGATGGGGAGGAAGGAGGCAGAGTTCCTGCTGGGGAGGGGGCTGGGCTGAGTCATTAGAGAGGGCAGCCAGGGAAGCTCAGCCATGGACTCTGGATGTAGGGGACCCTGGCCACCTTGTGTCCCTTCTGCCCTTTTGAACCAAAGGGACTTAGACTTGTGGTCACCTTGGTGTCCTGTCAGTGTTCAGACAAATGAGAGTGTTAATTTTAGTGTGGTGGGGACTCTTGTCTGAGAAAACTGATGCAGTTGTACAAACACTGGCTCTCAACTGCCTAAGAAGCTATCACAGGTCACAGGTGTGGAAGGGGATTCAATTGTACAGGGTGGGCTGGGGGTCCACCAGTCCTTTCAGCAGGCCCTCAGATGACCAACACAGCAGAGGATCCAACACCCTTTGTCAAAGTTGATGTCCCTGAGCTCATAAAGGTGAAACACTCTGACATATCCTTTAGTGAACACATAATTGTGATCGCCCCCCCTCCCCCGACATGTAGCTAGAGCTTTTCCAGATTCAGGATGACATCGTGAAGCACAGACTTCAAAGCCTGACTCCTCAGGAGCTTAGAATGCAGCAGAGGAGGTGTATAATGGGTAGAGGTGAGGAAGAAGGAGTGAGACACTTGAGAGTAAGAAGTGCTCTAAGAGAGCCCAGATGACTCTGGGGCAGAATGCAGCAGTTCAGGTGACTGTGGGCTTGAGAGTGGCTGAGAGCCTCTTAGAGGAGGCCCTCTTTCAGGAGACCCTGAGCCTTCACACAGTAACTCTACCTACATCTAGGATGAGCCTGTAGGCATGAGCAGCAATGAGGTGAGATCCTAGAAGCCAGTGTGTGCTCTGGAAATCAACAGAATTGTGCACAGAGAAGAAACCCAGTTCCTTTCTAATCAGGAGGAGCTGATAAGTCACCTTCCAGAGAAGGTGGCCAGGCCAGTCATGGTGTCCAAAGGGGGAGAGCAGGGCTAGGGAATGAACTCAGCATTCTCTTACTGGCCCAGAGTGCAGACTGTGTCTCCACCCCACACCTGAGTCACTCATACTCTCTGGGGTTCTTCAGGGGTAGCACCCTTGGATGGTGCATACTTTGTATGTCTTTTTTTCTGGAGGTGGCAATGAATGACCACCATGTCCCAACAGCAACAACCCCATGACAGATGTGAATTTGGCCATGACAGATGGCCAGGAGGGGGGTGGTCAGTGTCATTGTGGCCATAAAGGGCGTCCTCTGAGGAGCCAGCACAGCCTCATCAGGCCACCCCAGCGACTTGCCCTGTCTGAGAGCACAGAGCCTGGAGATGCAGAGCCTGCTCCTGACTGTCACACTGTTTGTCCTGGTGGCTGTCCTACAAGCTCAGGATGACCTGCCCTTCCTCTCAGAAGAAAAGAAAGTGAGGCAGAGAGGGATGGTGGACAGGCGTATGTGGAAGGCTTGACTGCTGGCCAGTGTCTGAGGACGGGAGTTAGCACTCATGAGGGTTCAAGTCCTCTGAGTCTGAGCAGAGGCTGCTGATCTCCAGCACACATGGGTTCCTGGGCCACAGAGTTGGAGCAGGAAGGGTCCTAGAGCAGGGACACCCAGAACCAGAAATTCTCACTTGTTAGGATCTCTTGTGTGTTGTTTCCTGGACTCCTAGGTGTTTTCAGTCTTTGGAGACAGACCATTCCTGCTTCTACTGGGCTATCAAATTGTAGTTCTCATCTAATTTTAAGGAATAAGGGGTTGAAGGGTGGAACTCACTAACTCGGGGGCTGCATCTTGGGTTCTGTGATGTATGTTCAGGCTGCATTGCCTATGGGAACCTGGGGGAGACTTGGGGCTGGGCAAGTGTGGGCTCAGGACTCTGTCTGCCCCAGCTCTCAGGTGTCTGGTTCATAAAGGCTAGAGTGACTGAAAGGAACCTGACAGAGCTGAGGAGACCTATGGTAGTGTTCCCTCATAGAGTGTCGTATCTGGAACAAAGAATTTGGAGATCAGGACCACCATCATGTGAGTATCCCCCATGTGTCTTTTCAGTTTTCTACCCCCTCCTCTATCTGTGTTTGGACGCTGATGACAGAAAATCCCCTTCCTCTGAGGGGCCACAGTGTCAGCATCCTAAAACTTGGAGGAGTTGATGTGGGATTTCAGGGGACATTGTGCTAAAGCTGATGAACCAGGTGACCTCAGTAGAGCACAGTCATGTGTTCTGAAAGAGGCTGTCTGTTGGTTTTCTGTTTTCCAGGTCTGAGGGTCTGTGCATTAAGGTGAGATTCATATGCAGAGAACAGAGGTGCCTGGTCAACTGGACTGTGAGTCCCTGTCTCAGTTTCTTCTCCTGATGCTGTGATAAGAACACCCTAATCAACACTGCTTAAGGGAGAAAGGGTTTGCTCTAGCTCACAGTTCAAGGTACAGTCCACAATGGTGGGGCTTTCCTGGCAGCTGGAGCATGAAGCAGCTGCTCATATTGCACACATAGGAGAGCAATGAGTGCATTCATGCTGGTGCTCAGATGGCTTCACCATTTTACAGTCTGGATCTTCTGCCCACAGAATGTTCCTGCCCACAATTAAGATGATTCTTCCACAATCAATGAACGTAATCAATATCATTTTCACTGTCATGACCAGTGGAACATCTCATAGGTGATTCTAGATTGTGTCAAGTTATTAGTCAACACGGTATCCCTGGTTGCACGTGATTATCTCTTGCCAGGTAAGCTCCTGGGGTTGCAGCATCCCTGCCCCGCTTACTTTTCAGGATGGACTACCCAGTTAATTCCCAGGTGACTTTAGAGATCACAGGCTAGTCCACAGAAGAGACCATGCTTCCCTTTAGATAATACTGTCCATTAGCTAATAGGGAGACTGAAGCTTAGGATATAGGAAGCAGGGCAGTGTAGCTGCTAGTGGACCAGTCATGCACAGCCTCCATCTTCCCTGACACCTGTGGCCCTGACTCCATAGCTACGGATGACACCTTTCCAGGAGGAACTTCTGTCTCGTGATGGGACCACAGCAAGGTCTGGAGCCATCCGACTGGGTGCTCATGGGTTATGGCTGAAACTTACTAGACTGTTCCTTAGTGTTGTCTGAATGTTGTCTTTGAAAAAGACACTACACACCCATTTCTCTTTATTCTGCAGTTTTGGGTCAAATATTCTGCTACATCTATGAGCTGCCAGTGAAGGACCACTACATCTTATATGCTGAAAACCTTTCATTTGAGAAAAAATTCCAAATGGGGCTCCTCATAGGTGAGGGATTCCAGAGCGCCCACCTCCTGCCCATGCTCTCTACTACCATTAGCTATTTGAATGTGCAGCAGCTACACCCTGGCACCCTGGGTGTCTAGCAGCTCTGCAAAAGGTGTTATGTGGTCAGTGTGCATGCTCTGAAGTGGGTAGTGATGGTCTGTGCAGAACTTCCAGGGACATGAGCAGCTGTGGCCTCAAATACTGACCAATAGGACAGAAGTTCCAGCCAGTGACTTACACATGGCACTTCTAGGGGGTCTCAGGTTTCATAGCAGGCAGGTTTCATTGAAAGGTTGTGTCCTAATAGAGACCTTTTATGGGCTCTTGTGGAATATTAATTTAAGATGTGTTACATTTGGTTATGCTGTGGAATATTTGGTTAATGATGCAAAGATGTGTTGCATTCTTTTATGTTGCATTTGTTTTAACTCTGTAAAGTTGTGTTACTTTGCCTGACTAAAACATCTGATTGGTCTAGTAAAAAGCAGAACCATCAAAAGCAAGGCAGGAGGAAGAAATAGGTAGGGCTGCCAGGCAGAGAGAACAAAGAGGAGGAGAAGAGAGAAAAGGAGAGGAGCTAAAAAGGAGAAGGAGAGGGTGATGCCAGGGGCCATCACCCAGGTACACAAGTAGCTACGAAGTAAGAAGGAAAGAAAGGTATACAGAACACAGAAAGATACAAAGCCCGGAGGCAGAAGGTAGACAGGATAAGTTAAGAAAAACTGGCTAGGAACAAGCCAAGCTAAGGCCAGGCATTCGTAAGAAAGAATAAATCTTCCTGTATTTATTTGGGAGCTGGGTGGCAGGCCCATCAAAGAAAATAATAATAATAATAATAAACAACCAACTACAATGGGCAATGCCCCCTACAGATAGGAGGCAGACTAGTGACCTTGAAACACAAGGTCCTTCCTGGTTAGAATGTGGCATTATTTGTCTGCTTAGGGTGTCACCTATATGTTCAGTCATACAGTGGCCCTATGTGTCAGTGATACCCACTTCCTGTGCACAAGCTAAAAACCCCTGAGATTATATTCCTAAAGCTACCCACCTGGTCTATTCCCTTATTTGGCCATTTTCTCCTCCTGAGGCTGAGTACTAAGGTCCAGCTATCAAAGTATTGAAGTCAAGAAATCAAAAGCCCCTTTTGGCTCACCTAATTAACATATTCCACCTCCACGGTGTCTCTGAAGTCTCCTCCCCTCTTGCTCCCGACAGAGCTGTGCTGTCACACCCCATCTGCTTATCTGTCCTCTGCTCAAAAGAAAGTATCCAAAAGAAAACCTGGAGGCCCTGGAAGAATTTAAGAAATTCACACAGCACAAAGGACTTCTCCAAGAAAACATGGTTGTGTCTGTGCAGAGGGTGAGAAAATGCTCTGCTCTGCCCCTTGCCCAGGTCCCCTCTGTGTCAGCCATGATTCCGCAGCTGCTGTGTAACCTCGTGCCCTTCACCAGCAGGGCCCTTCTTGTCATCTTAATCATGGGGCCATCCGAGCTGCAGGTGTAATCTGGGTCTTCCCCCTGGACACCTTCTTTAGTTGATGTTTTTCTTGCTGTTACAGAATGCTGTGTTCCCAAACATGTCCGTGGTAAGTGACCATCTGAAGGAACCCTGGGAGAACCCAGATTTCCTCAGTTGCAGGGTTGAAGTTTCTATCCGTTCTTGGCCCTGCTCCCATCCTCTCATTCAGAAGGGACCATGTTTAGCCAGGAAGCAGTGACCACTCCAGGAGGTGTCCTCAGGCACAATTCCCAAGAAATCTGTCCTTTCTTTTCCCAGAGTCCTTTTCCCAGACCCATACTGTGGTCTCCACTTGGTCTAATTAGAGATTTACAAGGTCAGAGGGTCAGGATTGTTCAGGAGACCATGTATTCGCAGGAGGCTTGATGAAAGGAAGACAGGCACCCACCTCCCAGGTAGCTACTCTCTGACTGCTGTTCCCATGGTAAGGGGAGGAGTCTCTCACTTGTGTTCCTCTCTGTCACAGCCCACCAGGACCACAACTGCTGAGCCATCTTCAACACTAGTACATGGCAGTGATCTGACTAGACTACTCCTCTTCCCCCTGGACCACACCCCACTGAGCTGCATTTCCCCCACTGGAGGCCCCCTCCTTCCTTGATTGTTACTTCCCAATGAATCGCTCTCCTGCTTTAGCTTTCAACCCCCGTCCCTGCCCATCTGAATCCAGTAAAGAGTTTAGTATTTTTTTCTGGGTTCAGCTTTTATGTGACAGGCCTTCTTAGTTCACAAGTTTGATGAGATATTAGAATTAACAGATACCAGACACCAAGTAGCATGGTACCCAGCAGTTCTGTAGAGCTATGTGATATCTTGGAAGTTCAAGTGATGTGCAGCCAATGCCAAGTAGCTTCAAAAGATGTCTGACATGGGACAGGAGAATTTGGGTAGTCGCTAGAGGGGACAGGACTGGGTGTGGCATCAGGGTTGCAAATGTCTGAAGGTCCCTACAGAGATCTTGCTGCACTGGTAAATTTCATGGGATCCTAGCTTTGAATTACCTAGGAGCAGTGGCAGTGGTGGAGGGAAGAAGTTGCAGGACCCTCCCTCATCACCCTCAAGCAAGGCAGACCTGGATGCAGATCTCTGAGTATTTTTACTCATCTTGGCTTTCTGTGATTGGTCAGTATTCAAGGTCTGTGTTGATATTACCTCAGGGATCACAGTGATGGAGGGCTGGGCCAGTACTTTAAATGATGATGATAAACTCAGAAACTGCCAGTCTCAGTGGGACATGGATTCCTGGAGGATGAGTGTGCAGTTTGCCAATTGCTCTCAAATGAGCATCAGCAGTAACCCTTCAGCCCAACTCCTACCATCACCTGTTTCTTCTCCTTGCCCCTCTCTGCTTGGACCTGGTCATCTGGAAAGGGAGTTGACCCCTCAGTGATGTGGGATGTCCTTCTGTATACTGTGAATATGTGTTGCTTTTATTGGTTGATGAATAAAGCTGATTTGGCCTGTGGCAGGGCAGAATACAGGTAGGCGGGAAAGCCAAACTGAATACATACCTACCAATAGTATGTGAGGTTTCCATTTCCCCAAGTTACTTCTTTTCTTAATGATTGACATTATGACTAGGCCAAGGTGGGATCTCAGTGTGTATTTCCTTGATTGTGAACAATGATGGATACTGTCATATGTTATTACCCAATTATACTTCAGCTTTGAGGACTCTGTTTCAGTCCTGAATTATTTATTAGATGGTTTGGATGTTTGTATTTAGTTTTTTGAGTTCTTTATGTGTTCTAGATATTAATCCTCTTCCAGAGGTTATCCCATTCTGTAAGCCAGTTTTCACCCATGCTGTTGCTTGCTTTGGAAAAACTTTTCAATTCTATTCAATCTCATTAACCAATTCTTGGCTGTATTTTTGATTGATTATGCTCTCTCCCAGATCTCCACTCTATGTCTATCTTTTGAAGAGTCTGTGTTTTAGTTTCGCTATCGATTCCAGAGCTTCATGTCCTACATTAAGATCTTTGACTCCTTTTGCATGGATTTTTGGCAGGGTGAGGTAAAGACCCAGCTCTATTCCTGGACATGACCTTCAGGTCTCCATCAGCATCTGTTGAAGAGACTTTCTTTCATCCAGTATAGGCTGTTGACATAATTGTCGAGAATCAGGTGGTCACGAGATGCAGCTCCATTCCTAAGTCCTCTGTTCTTTCTCTGTGGTCTATGTTTCTGTTTGCTGCCAGCAGCACAATGCTTTGGTTACTATATTGTAACTTGGAATCTAGAATGATGATGTCTCTGACATAGTTCCTTTTACTCAGGATTGCTTTGGCCATTTGGAGCCTTTTGTGCTTCCATATAAATTTTAGCATTATTTTGTCTTTCTGTGAGGGGTGATAGTGGCATTTGATATGGATTGTGTTGATTCTGTAGACTGTATCTTTTTAAAAATAAATTTATTTATTTATTTTTACACCCTGGCCACAGTTTCCCCTCCCTCCTTTCCTCGCATCCCCTCCCCTCCATGTCCCCTCTGTTCCCACCCTGCCCCAATACACTCCTCCTCTGATTCTCTTTAGGAAAGGGCAGGTCTCCCACAAGTATCAATAAAACATGGAATATCAAGTTGCAGTAAGACTAAGCACCTCCTCATGTATTAATGCTGGGCAAGGTGACCCTGTATGAGGAGTAGGGTCTCAAAAGCCAGTAAAAGAGTTGGAGACAGCTCCTGTAGCCTGGGCTCATAGGGGCTCACAGAGACTGAACCAACAACCAGGGGGCCTGCATGAGGCTGACCTAGGCACTCTTCATATATGACAATTGTGTAGCTTGGTCTTCTTGTGGGATTCATAACAATGTAGACTGTATTTTATAATGTAGAAACTTCCACAGTATTAATTCTGCTCATCTGGGAGCATGGGAGGTGTTTCTGTCTTCTAGTGTCTTCTTCAATTTATTATTTTCAACTGAAAAATTTTGATTTTAAAGTTCTTTCACTTTTTTGGTTGGTTAATTGCAAGACATTAAATTAATTTTTTTAAAGACTGTTTAGAGTGAAATTTTTCCCTGATTATGTTATTCATGTGTTCACTACCATGCATAGTGATCCAGTATTATAGAAAAGTTACATGCTTTTATCTTGATTTTTTAACCTGACACTTTTGTAAAAGTGTTAATTAGTTCTTAGAGTTTCCCAAGTCTATTATGTAGAGAGTCATATCATCAGCAAATACTGATGTTATGTTTGACTTCTCCTTTTCCTATCCGTACCCTTTAATCTCTTTTCCTTGTCATACTGACTAGCTAAGATTCAAGCTGCTTATTGAGTTGCGAGTCAAGAATGTGGATACCCTTGCCTCTGCTGGCTTTATTGTTAACATGTTTCTCCATGCAGGACAGTGTTGGCTGTAGTTTAGAACAGAGCTTTCATTATGTGGATTTGCTCCTTCTGTTACTGCTTTCTTCTGGGCAGGTATCATGAAGGGGTGACTGACTTTGTCAGAGTGCTCTTCTGAGTCAGATCTGATCATGACACTTCAGTCACTGTCATTTATTTGTTGTATTGCATTCTTTATTTGCATATGTTGAACTATGCATGTATCCCAGGAATGAAGTCAACTTGATCATAGTAAATGATCTTTCTGGTGTGTTGTTAAGTTTACTTTGACAATTGCTTTATTGAGAATTGCCTCCATGTTTATTGGGAAGATTTGCCTATACCTTGTGTGTGTGTGTGTGTGTGTGTGTGTGTGTGTGTGTGTGTGTGTGTGTGTTTCTGGTATTAGCATCAGAGTACTGCTAGCCTTGTGAAAGTTCTGGTAGTACTCCTTCTCTTCTGTCTTATGGAGTAACTTGAAGGTCATTGGTGCCTGTTCTTACTTAAGAGCTGGTAACATTCTGCAGTGAATCCATGTTGGCCCAGGTTTTAGTTATTGGGGAAGCTTTTATTACTGTTTCCATCTCATGATCAGTACAGAACTCTGAGTTATTTTTCTCTTGTTGAACTTTGTTAGTTCTCCTCCTCCTCCCACCCCTTCCTCCCCTGCCTTTCCTCCCTCTTCTCCCACCCCTTCCTTCCCCTGCCCTTCCTCCCTCTCCTCCCACCCCTTCCTTTCCCTGCCCTTCCTCCCTCTCCTCCCACCCCTTCCTTCCCCTGCCCTTCCTCCTCCTCCTCCTTTCCCTTAAGAAATCTAGAGTACAGACAGTGCTGTGCATGTGTACATGGGTGAAGGGCCATTCAGTTCAGCATGGGAAACCAACCATGGGCAGACTCCTCTGAAGAAAACTGACCATGAGTCAGCAGCCATCCCCTGACAAAACTCCTTTGATTTTCCAGCCCACAGCTCTAAAGTCTTCCTAATTTCTAAAGGCCTAACACACACATACTCAGGGTTCTTAAGTAATGACCTCATTTTTAGTACCAGTTTCTTGTGTTAATCCTCCTCTTATCACTTGGCAAAATGCACAACGGAAACAACACAATGGAGGAAGGATTTATTCTGGCTTGTGATTCAGGAGCTACCATGCATCATGGTAGCGGGAAGGCATGGTGCCTGAAACAGCTAAACCATGGCAGTGCAGGATGAGCTCATGGCTTGCTTACATCTTGAAGTATCAAGAACTGCTTAAGACCCAGAGGTGGATTCTACCAATATCTCATGTCTTCTCATGAGACTTTAGGGCCAAAGGTTCACATGTTTCCCAGAAAAGTACCTCTATCTAGTGCTGAGGTGTTCAGATACAAGAGCCTGTGGGAAACACCCAGGCAACATACATAGAGATATAAACACAGAAATGTATGCACAGATACACACAGATTTGCACACACAGACCCTCACACATGAATACACACATGCACACACACAAACAGAGGTGCACATACAACCACATATATACAAACATACCCTAAAATGCAGTGACATAGGATTACACACAGGCACATACAAACATGATACAGGTACAGATATGAACACACATACACTGCTATGTTGACACACAGAGACAGAGACACATCTAGGCACAACATG